CCCCTCCCCCACCACCACCACCACCACCACCACCCCCTGACCCCTCCTCGGTCAAACTGCTCCCTGAAGTAAAATTATGGAGCGAGGCATCGTGCTGAGTGATCAACATGTCCCAGCGCACAGTCCACTGACTCTGCACTGCAGTAGAAACTCCTCACATCGTCACACGTCTCACTGAGCATGAATCACCGGACGGCTACCAAGCCCACACTGTACTTCGCTGTACTTCGCTGTACTTCGCTGTACTTCGCTGTACTGCACTGTACTGCACTGTACTGCACTGTACTGTACGCCCATCTGCTTCTAACTCTTCCTCGTTGACCTTATTAGCAGCGAAGGGGACGAGAGATAAAGACAGACGGAGAGACAGAGCTCGCAGGTGGACAAGGACCTAAAGGGAAGATGTGTGTGTGTGTGTGTATGTGTGTGCCCACAGACACACAGGTAATGTGGTATGCTCCTCTAAAGGGTGTGTACTCTGTCATATCCTGTAATGGGTGTATATAAGCTGGTGTAATGGAGGTCGGGGAGAAGGCAGGGGCATAAATCTCACATGAAGTCTCTGATTAGGGCTATAATACACACACACACACACAGACCGCTTCAAGTTTAAGTGTTTCTGGTAGCGCGGTGGAGTCGCACTTGTGGAGGCCTGCCCCGACCTGCCACTCACTTCTTCTGAATGTGTCTTTCTCCTTCTCCTGCTCCCTCTACACGCTCATACCCCCACCAGCTGAACCCCTGACCTGAGAGAGTGTGGAAAGAGACATTCCCACTACCCCGAGGGGACCGAGCGAGCGAGGGAGGGAGGGAGGAGCGCAGATCAGAGAGATAAAGAATGTGTTTGGAGAAGCGGGAAATAAAAGAGCTCCTTTGCCTTTTAATTGGGATGAGGAAGACAAGAGGGGAAATGGGACTCAACATGTTCCTGATGACTCCGGTGGATGTGTACGTGTGTGTGTGTGTCTGTGTGTGTGTGTTTTGGAGAGGCTGACACCTGCCTTTGTACTGTAATGGATTAGCTCACAACATATACTAGGCGCATGTGTTTATGTGTGTGTCTGCTTTGATTGACGAGCGACCGACGGATCCTGTTCCGACACGTAGATCGCTCAGATGTTCCCCAACGTTTAGCAGTGGTAATAATCAGCAACTTGTGTCTCCGTCTTTTTTCTCCCCACTGGTCTGGGTGCACAGAGGTCAAACCCAGTCGAGGCCAGAAAAGGGCCAGTGAGCTGCTTCCCCGCGGTTGACTCTCTGGCTTTGTCGGAAGGATTGTCTCTGTCAGATTCCTCCTGGTCACCGCTCGTCAATCCTCCAAAGCCCCGGCCAGTTTGGCTTTCTGTGAATGGGCATGTGTGTGTGTGTTGTGTACAGTGTGTATTTATGTGTGCATCTGTGTTTACAGCAGCTTAGTGAGATAATAAGTCTTTATCATGTTATGCCTCATGTGGGAATATTTGCAGCAGTCCCAGAACGCCTGTTCTGTTTCCTCCGCCTTGCATCAGCTCACAGGAACGTTGCTTATTAGGAAGAGAACTGAGGGAATAAGGGTGGGAGGGAAAGTGGAGGAGGAAGAAGGAGGGAGTGGAGGGAGGGAGGGAGGAGGAGGTGGAGAAACTGTCTGTACTAGTATCTATACTCCGTCATCTATCCACTTTGATCTGACTGGGGAATTATCCGTCTTTCACCTACTCTCTCTGTGCCTCTGGTTATACCTGGTAACCAGTGGCGTCTTCAGCCTCCGAGACAAATAAAGTTTTCACCAAGAATAGAATCCATGTTAGTTATTTCTGCATTTTTTATTTATTATTATTATTGAAAAATCCTCTTTGAGACGCGTATCTGAAGAACTGTTGCACAAACTGGTTTTGTAATTAGTCGACAGAATGTCGGAGCCTCTGTCTGTCAATGAGTGGAGTCATGACAATATGTCTGTTCTCTGTTCCAACCAAATATAGAATTTATTTTACTTCAAACTGCCAGCCACAAACAAGACAAATCACGAGAGCCACAGCCTGTAGGATTCAGCCCCGACATTTGTCTTTTACAAAGGCTCTTTTATTTCGTGGCTTTCCGAGGGATACGAAAACAAACAGAGACAAATCTCGATATAATAAACACAAAACACCCGCGTGTTCTGTCACTCTTCGAGCTGGCACACACACCTTCACTCAGTAAACTGTGACACTAGCCCTGAGGGGATTTGGTTCAACCCCAAAACCCAGAACAAACCCAACCATCGGCCTAGCTGGGCTTTCATGTCTTCACTAATCACTGTTTGGCCTCAGAAGTGGGAGAGGCAACCAGGAGGAGTACGCCACACAAAGTGCCGTAAGAAATAAATGATTGAATTAAACGTCTCATGCAGTAGTAAAACGTTTAGTCGAATCCGCGTACCCAAAGACAAATGGGAGATAAGTCAAAGCAAAGGTCACGGTGCTAATTACCATAGAAGAAGAAATGTGTTCTAGAAACCTCATTTTTTTGTGAGCAAACTTTCTGAAAACTAAAGACTAAAATCTGTAAGTAGTTCACGGAACTATACCTGACAACACAGGACAGAAAGAAAAAAATCACTGTCTTACTTTCTGCCTATTGTCTTTTACATGGAGTTTTAGAGGGAATGAAAAAAATGAGTTTGTAAAAACTGATGGTTTTGGGACAGTTTTTTAATGTTCTTTAACCTCACAGCCTGTTTTCTATTTCTATTTTTTCATTCTGAACAAATCAATATAATAAATGGTCTTTAAAAGCAATGTATTACAAATTACTGCATATAAAAAAAGCTATTTCATGGAGGTCTATAATTTTTTTTTAATACCCTTGAATTCCTAAAAATATTTTCTGGTCATTTCTCTCTCACCCAGGCTGATGTTATCAAAGATCACTGCACCTAGATGGGCCTCTGCACAGAGCTAATGCTAGAAAGCTAACAGCCCTGGTCCAGGCTTCTCTGGCTGCCAGCCAGCGCTAACAGGTCGGCTAACAGTAATGGGCTAACGCTAAGTCTGCGCCTGCCCTGGTGCTGCTCCAGTCCTGACAGGTGAACTGCGTTATTCTGTAGTGGGAGACGGAGTCAGATGTCGGCTAACGTCTACGACTGGCTCTGTGGCTGGTTGACTTAAAAGTGTCTAAATGAAAAGAGGGAATTTAGCAACTGTTACGACCAGATCGATAATAAAATATAAAAAGTTGCAAAGAGAACAAAGAGTATATAAATAAACACCAAGAGTTTGAAACAATGTTTTGTCAACTGGTGGATGGAGCCCCTGACGGTGCACGTGTCTCGGAGTGTTAGCTTTACAGTACGTAGCCCAACATATCGACCAACAACCGCGGGTTCATGTGTCTTTGTGCATGTGTGA